AAAATGGCACAATGTGAAGAAGAAAAGGCACTAACTTTGGAAAGAATTTTCTTAGAAATTCAAAAAGTTTTAATAAGTACAGAGAGAATTGAAAAGAGACTTGAAATTATACTGTGTTTCCCTGAAAATACAACCTGTCCTGAAAATAAAGCCTTGCCACATTTTTCGTGTGGGCAAAAATATAAGCCCACCCCTGAAAATAAACCCCCTGGACAACCCCCCTCTCTGGCCAGGCAAAGAGTACTGCCCCCACATAGCGGTATCCTGAAGGCACCAATCCGCAGGAGCTGGGGGGGGGGAAAGGCACTCACATTGCTTGCCACCTTCGGGATACCGCTAGATTGGGGACTGGTGTTCTGCCTGGCCAGAGGAGAGGGAGTTGCCGGGCGGCTGCTCCCTTGCGAACTGGCTCCTGAGGAGTTGGGCACAGCCTCAGGAGCGAAGCAGCCATGAGGTGACCAAGCTCACGAGCAACCGCCTGGCAAACCCCATCTCCAGCTGGGCAGAGCGCCATTCACTGACCTAGGGGGTATCCCTAAGGCGCCAAGCCATGTGGCTCTCTGCCTGCTCCCCAGCTCCTGCGGCTTGGCATATTAGGGATACCCCCCTAGGTCAGTGCATGGAGCTCTGCCTGGCTGGAGAAGGGGGTTGCGCAAGCACCTGTTCCGCCCACAGCAGGCATGCCTCCTAGCCTCAACATGGTCCAGCTCTCCCTGCAGCAGTCACTGCTGCCGCACTCCAAATATAACATCTTCTCCGGTTCCAAACTCCCAAACTCGGCTGTTATGATGCTTCCTCCTAGTCTAAGTCATTCACAGAGCTTTCCGAGATAGAGGACCAGATTAAGAGACTGCACAGTCCTGAGTTGGATGGGGAAGTAGGGAATTGGTTCAGAGTTGCCATACTATAGCATCTTTCATGGTATATTTAGTAAATTAAATGCTTATAGCTTGAGTTTGGCAAGATTCTGTCCACTAGGTCTAAGCAAATAAAGGATTGAACTCGATTGGATCTTGATTATGAACTTTGGTTTTATTGAGCTTGTATCTAGTAGATAATATTAAGTATAATTTATATTCCTAGAGGGTTTTTTAAATAAAATTTTTATTATCAGACAAACACAAACACACAACACATATAACATAAAAGCCTCTTCAACTACATATAGTGTGTCGATTGGTCTCTATCTGGGAAAGCTCTGTGATGCCGAAAGTCTCCCCAACTCCTTTACAGGTACACTTTCCATCACACCTTATAATTATTGTTATTTATTAGGAAATGGAAGCATCCACAGAGGGAGTCAAGGGATCAAATGATGAGTGTGGAATTGCACCGATGCAAACACAACCTTTGTGTCTTTTGTACCTCTGTCATGTTGCAGTAAATGTCTCTATTAGGAAGCCATATTAATCATTTGGGTAAGATTTTTCTCTTTCGCTATTCACTCTGCTACACTGTTACAAATTATGCTAATTGTTGATATATTTCCCCAAAACATAAAAATTGTTTACCTTGAATTTTGGTGTGATAGTGCTCTTCTCTGAAGCTAAATCTTATTGGACTATATTCAGCACTTGTATCTGCCTTGGGCAGACTGATCTGGTTTAGGATTTTAGAAAAGTTGTTTAACAAGATGCATAATGGAAAAAAACAGATATGCTCATTGAAAAACAATACCACAAACCTATTTATGCTAACACAGTTATTTTAAAAACATAGCGTTTGGGTTACAAATATAGAATACAAACCAAACAATATTATTCTAAGATAATTTATGATTCCTAATTCATAATAATCATAGATACTATTACTTGATGGTGTAGTTAGCATCTGACTCCTTGATTTGTTTCCATTTTTAACAATATATTTTAAAACAATATGAAAGGACAAACTCTGAAGAATTTAATGCTATTAAATCTTCTAAGATTAGTAACCGTTTAATTATTTTTTCTTGTAATAAAGGTTGGCTATTTCCTGTTAAGATAAAGCTATTTTTGGTGCATTTCATTTAAAGATATTATAGCACTGTTATTTTTTTTTTAAAAAGATTTTTCACATCAATTAAAGGTCACAAATATATATAACTGAGTTATATAACTCATATAAAAATATTGTTGGCTTTGAAAGAAAACATTCAATAAAACAAATAAAGTTTTAACATAAGTAATAACTTGAAACCAAAAATGTCATGAATGGGCATGACCAAGCCATATGAGTTAGAGAACTCTCTTGCAATAACAACACACAAAACTTGTTATCTAATCTTCTTAAAACATTATTTAAGGAGCTCATTAAACATGGTACAAGATTTTTTAATGATTAACTTTATGCTGGTGGACTGGTTTTAACTTCATCATCGTTAAACTAACTGCTTTAAAAAGAAGTGGACAGGATACCCCAGAGAAAGAATAATAGGAATGAAAGAAGCCCAACCCAAAATGTATTTTTAAAAATTCATAGCTCCCTTTATATTAGGTAAATGTTATAAGTGATATACTAGAATGAATTTCATTCTAGCTGTAGTAGAGATTAGGGAAAATACAAGAAAAAATGTTTATTCTAAAGCTGATTCCTGGGTGTATTGGCATGTTAATACTTTAATTTTATAAACAACATTTAGTTTTCTAGTTGCTTTCCTGCCATGGAAGATGGGAGAAACAGCATCAGAGAAACTGTCCAATGAGGACTATAGGAATTGGTAGTCCAGACTGAATGCTTGTATATCTGTAATAGGACAGGCTGAGCCTAAGGGCGACGTCAGGTGTCAAAAGAGGAATCAGCCTGGAGTCGTTATGCTCTTATAAATAGTCTAAGTTCAACCCCTCTTGAATTCTGTTAATTCTTATCTAGCACTAATTTAGTGCTGATCATTTGTTGAGTAGATTCTTGTGCATAGGCATAAATCAGTTTAACTAATACTTATTCTGTGGTCTTGATCCTTTGTGAGAATAGCACCACCACAGTGCTCCAAGCAGGACCGAACTTTCTTAAATAGGCTTAGAATCCAGCTGGCACAAAAAAAAAAATGGGACAGAAGTAGCTTAAAGCTGCAATGTGGAACTGCCTAGATATTTTTCAAAAATGGAGGGCTAAAACACCACTTCCAATAATAGGAATTTCCCCTCCCTTTTTCCTATTGGATAATCACAATTGAAAATTGAAAAAAAATGCTGCATTTTTCAAACAAAATACCCATCAACTGAGATATTGAAGAAAAATCTAGTACCGTGTGGAATTGATAGAAAATGTATCCTTTTGCATATTTTAAAGTGACAATTAAATTAAATTGTCTCCATATGCCCACTAACTTAGATTTCTGGTGATATGCATGGAGAACATTTCAATTTGGGGGGAGGTTGAATTTTTTCCATTGAGTTTTTTCCAATTTGTTTCTAGATTTAAACGGACAAAAAACCAATTAACTGGATGACCTGTTATCCCTGGGTTCTATAAAACAATTATACAAAACGATCTTTAATTGTTTTATAAAAAAATATCCACACCATCTGGCAATTTCTTGCATTGCTTTCACTTTCTCGATGCCTTTGGGAAAATAAGATTCAGCTTCCCGATTTCTGGCATATGGAGATCACACGATCTTCCATTGTAGCAATGTTTCAAGATATTCCTATACGAATATCAAATTTCATCTTTTAGGGGAGAAGATGAAAAGACTAAACATTAGGTTGAGATGATGCATCTCCCCTACGGCTTCATCATTCTTTAAAGTTCTCTGCACGTCTCTGCTGTACCTTTATGATAGGTTTCCAGGCGAGGTCTAGGTGTTTGAAGGTGGTAGGCACATCTGGTGGAACATTAATAATGCCCTCTTCCTTTTTCTTCTCAGCTGAAGATTGTAAGGTAGGCCTGTAAGCTCGGAGATCCCAAATGTATATTGTGCTAGATAGATGGGAATAACANTCCAGTCCCCTCCTCATCCTGGTTGCTCTTCTCTGCACTTTTTCTAGAGTTTATTTACAGTATGGTGACCAAAACTGGATGCAGGATTCTAGGTGTGGTCTTACGCTTTATAGAGTGGTATTAGTACCTCACTTGATCTTGATTGTATCCCTCTTTTAATGCAATTTAGGATCGCATTGGCTTTTTTGGCTGCTGCTGCACACTGCTGGCTCCTATTTAGCTGGTTGTCCACCAGCAGAAACTCTGCTTTCCCCCTTCTTTTGTGCTAGAGACAGATGCTTTGAGGGAAAGAGACACCCTTCCCCCCCCATGACCCTGCAGCCCTCTGCCTTGTACTTCAGAAGGGCATCTCTGAAGCCTCTACCTGCAAATGGGTGCTTGTCCCCCCACTCCCCTATCCATGTGCGAGTCCAGCTGGGAGGAGTGCCAGTCTCATCACAATAAGGAGCTCCATTGTTATTCCGGCTGGCAGCCTTATCAGGGTTTGTTCTTTGGCTTTTGAAGGAGAGAGTGTGGACCCAGCACTGGCCGGCCTCTTGGGTCGCCATGGACCACGTTCCAAGCAGCCCTTCGTGGTGACCTTTTTCCAGGAGAGTGAAAACCAGGTCAGACTCCCCCGAGCGGCCAAGCAGGCAAAACGACGACTGCAGCACAGGAAGAGCTACAGCTTCCCGCACTCCAACAGGCTCCCAGGGGTTTTTGGTAAGAAGCAGAAAGACGGAAGATGCTTGGCTGACCAAGCTACCCAGGGGGAATCACAGGGTCTGGTCAAAAATGTCAAAATGGCGATTCCACAATCAAAGCTCCAGCTGTTTTTCCCGCACAGCACCTTTAGATACAGGTGGGGCCTCAATCACACCACTGTAGTGCCCTCTTGATGTTTCCACCCTCACTCTGGATGCCCTGGAGCTGCGTCTGCCCACCAAGGGGCAGCTCAGGGTTTAAGAAGCAATTGGAAACCTCACAGCCTCCTTCGTGCTGATCAAGTCTGAATGGAGATACAGAAGGAGCCTCTTCAGCCTGCAGCTTCGTAGCCTTCTTTGGCTGTGCTGCCTAATGGAAATTCAGCCGCACACCTGCCAGGCTTCAGCAGAATTTGCTTGGCTCTCAAATATACCCCAAACACCTGGAAGAAATGCACCTGTCAACTTCCCCAATCTTGAAGAAAGTTGAGAGCAGCCGTTTTCCTGGCATGCAGTTGGGCCAAGCTATGGCTGCTAGCAGTTTTCACCTGACAGCCTGGGCTGGCCTGGGCTCAAATTCCCAGCACTGCCAGCCCAGCCCCCACCCAGCCCTCTTGGCCCACCTGGGAGTCTGAAAGGTTAACAAAATCTACTTGCAGAACCGATCCCTGCATCCAGAGGCGTCTTTGAATCTGTTCCTTCTTTGGCCCAGGGAAGGTTGCCCCCTGGAGGCCAGAGTGCCTCGGCCTGGCTGACAGAAAAGCAGCCATGGGGAGGGATGGAGCCATGCTTGGCACCAAGCCTTTGCCTGACTTTACCTCCCAGAGTTGCGGCTAAGAATTGGCAGGGAAAGCCTGTGGGCGCCCCCCTGTGGGGCAGGACAGCTGGAAGCTGCCTTCCCCCTCCCAGTATCAAAAGGCTGGAGATCCCACCTTAATAGAAACTCCATAATAGAAACACCCATCTCTCTTTTTCCTTCCTTAGATGATGTGTATGTTTCTGAACATAGCCAGGTCTGCAGAAGGCATGAACTGAATGTCAAGTTTCAAGATTTTGATTGGCTGGTAACCATTTTTAACTCTCTTCTTCATGACTGTGGGTTCAGGTACCTCTGCCCGTCCTCCCCCCGCCTTTTGCCCCTGTAGCCCAGGGGCTCTGGTCTGGCTCATGCCAAGCAAGGATGCTGAGGCCATAAAGTGCTTCAGAGAAATAAATCCAGGCTCTTGTTCCGCAGTCAAGGAGGAAAGTCCCTCTTGCAACTCTGCTTGATCTGCTCAGCTTGACCTTTTGGAAGTGAAAACAAAGTGTTAACTTCATCCCCTCCCCCCAAGTATAGAACATAGAGCATAGAATAGAGTTGGAAGGTAGCTTGGAGGTCTTCTAATCCAACCCTTGCTCAAGGAGGAGACCCTGTACTATTCCAGACAAATAGCTGTCCAATCTCTTCTTGAAAACTACCCACAACTTCTAGCTCTGGTATTTGTGGTATCAGATGATTCAGGAAATTGCCAAACTACCTGCCAGTGGGAGTGGAGGAACTTACCTTTGTCCTCGTCCTCCCCCAGGACTGGGTGATTGCCCCCCAGAGTTACCCCGCATTCTACTGTGATGGAGAGTGTGTGTTTCCCCTGAATTCCTCCATGAACGCCACCAACCATGCCATCGTCCAGTCGCTGGTCAGTATCTCTTGCGGGAGGCAGCAGGTGGGTGGATGGGCAGCAATTTATTGTACTATTTTATTTTTTGTTGGATTTATTTCTGGCCTCTTCTCTAGGAGCTCTAAGGGGCACACAAGGCACTTCCGGTTCACTGACAAATGCGCGCTTGACAAAAGCGTGCCGACAAAACTGCTGGGAAAAAACTGCGAGTTCAAAGTCATGTTGACAAATGAGCGCGGAAGCGCGCCGACAACAGCGCGCCGACAGAAGCGCGCTNGGTATCTGGTGCTCCGGGCAGGCTCCGGTACACCCGTACTGGGGCGTACCGCTTGCAACCCACCACTGGTGTGCATGCACAATGGCGTGCATGCCAGTGGTGTGTTCCAGATCCTATTGCAACTGGTACATTGCCACGGGGCCAGGTGTCCACCATTTGCACCCACCGCCTACGACGCTCCAGCTGCTTGGCGGAGCATCGCGCAGGCGCCGTACGCTCCATGTGCATGCACAAATGGCCCGGTTGGGTCAATTACAAGTAAGGCTGGGCCCTCCAGAGCACCGTGCCAGAACGGTACCTGGTGCTCCCAGCAGATACCAGTATGCCCGTACCGAGCATACCGGCCATACCCCACCACTGGTGCACCCATGGATGGGGCTGGAGTGCATGTGCGGGGGGGGGGTGTTGGCATTGCATTTTGGGGGTTCAGTGGGCACTCGACACCAAAAAAGTTAACCATCACTGTCCTAAGATGTAGTTTTCAACCCAAAACTCCTCCTAAGGAACGTAACCACAGATCTTGATTCTAAAATTTTGTCCTTTTACAATTCCACTCTTTATTTCCTCCTCCAGATGAAGCTTTTGTGCCTTGTTGTTGTTGTTGTTGTTTTTTACATCCACCTCCACGGCTAATAACGATATTTATTATTAAAGTCCTAACCGGCTTCTAAAATTCCCCGCCTTCCTGATCTTGACAGATTGATCCAAGTAAAGGGATTGAACCGTACCATTTCTCTTGTTGCCCTTAATGGGGCTGCTATTATTAAATCCCATAAATCAGGATATGCTAACATAATTAGGATGTTTTACTGTCAGTAGAAACACAACTTTAGCAAGGCTTGATCGCATTTTAATGCCACTCCTGGAAAACATGCTTCATATTCATTGCGACTTCGAGAACATAACTTTTTGGTTCAGGGGTGCATTTCCACACAGATGCATCAGAAGCACGTTATACATTATGCTTTTTACACACAGGATACCAACCGTAGCTTGATTAATGAGTCAGGTGGGAAGTATTGAAGAGAGAATCACATTGCATGCCTCTTATACTGTTATAAACACTACGACAAGGCATATTATCCATGCCTTGTTCCCTCTCCCAGCATATAAATTCCCCAAATTACCCGCGTCACTGTTTAATTGACGAAAATTAGAAACTTCAACGTGCCACAGTGTGAGGATAACATGTAGTTTTGCCGGCACATAAGAAACATGTCCAGAGATAGAATAGAATAAAATAGTGCACAGGATTCTGTTTAGGATCTTACTCATTTTCTGCAAGACACCAGACAAGCCTGCTAATGTCAAACTCGATTTAATTGAGGGCCGCCTCAGGGGTGTGTTTGGATCTGGGAGGGGGCGTGGCCAGGGTGGGTGTGGCCAGCTTGATATCATTCGTGCCGGGGGTGCCTATGGTGGCCTGAGCACTCTGCTAGCGAAAACGGGCTCCCGAGCTCTGTTTTCGGCTGTGACGGCTTCCTGCCACCCTCCGCCAGCAAAAACAGAGCTCAGGGTTGAAGGGTGCAAATAACACGGGTTTTGTTAATTGTTAACCAACATAGTTAGTTTGTCTTTTAATCTGATTTATATTCTTTCTTTTAAAGTGATGTTCAAGATTTATTAGCTTTTAACATTGCTAAACTGATGAACAAGCTGGGGACTAGTTGAAGTTTGAAGTTTTGTTTTATTTATATGCCGCCCTATTCCCTGCAGGGACTCAGGGCNTCTAAAAATGCCCTTTACAGGAGGCGAGAGAATACGTGCCTCATTTGTATAAGGAATTTTTTGCTTCTTAACCCTTGGTTATCTCTTAAAAGGCAAAAAATTCCTTATGCACAGGAGGCCCCTAGTTCTCTGGCCTCCTCCTATGGTGAACACAAAGCACTGTTCCAAGTCACTGTGAATCTGGCAGCAACTACATTGGCTTTAATTATTTTTTTAAAAAATCTTTAAAATTCTTTTTCTTTTCCTCATTACTGGTGAGGCCATACCTCCCTTGCCTCTAGTGACTGCACGTCCCTGGAAACAACTGAGACTATTGAGATAAACTAAGATGACAATAGAGAAAGTCAGCATAGCTATTGAATTATTTTCATTCTCACCAGGTAACCTCTCCTCTACTTTTTCCCCAGGAACAAACCCCCTCCAACTAAAAAAGGGGAGAAACTGAAATAACGAATAACAACATCAAGAACAGCATCAAAATGACAAAATAAGGTTAGTTGCTTTGAAATGTTTTCCAAAAAAACAACAAAAAACACTAGCCCAAGTATTAAGAGATGCCAATACTGTAATATCAAATATAAGCACCAACTCACTGCAAGAAACAAACTAATTTACATCATGTCTTTGGATGCAAAAAAACAAAGTGCACTACAAAATTAGAAGCTCAGGTTGGAAAATAAGATCAGCTTCTAAGATCAGATGCAAGCTAGAATAGATGAAAGAAAAGAAATTTGAAAAACAAGAAGACCAAGTACATTAAGAACCTAGAAACAAGGAAGATCAAGCAAGCACTGGAGATAATAAAGCAGAAAATAACAGCTACAGCTAAGAAAATAATGAGATATGAAACTTAAATTGCAAACAATAGGAAGAATCTCCAGCTACATTAGAATCTGAAATATTTTACCAATTCATTAATTATGAAACTGCAATGAACTGCAAAGCTTGAGGAAGAAGGAAAAAAATGCAGCTATGAGTATCCAAAATTTCAGCTTTGATAAAAATGTATAAATTTTTAAAAGAAGTTAGAATGAAAGAACTTGTAATAATAGCAAAAATGGTGGAGAAAGACAGAAGATTAAAAATTAGTTAGCATCAGATATAAATGAACTCTTTAAAAAAAAACTACGGTCTACACCCACTTATTGCCAAGCAGTTTAGAAATGTCTTGGAGACAGCAGAAGAGAAGAGGAAGAACTAGAGAAAATTGCAAAATACAAGGAACTGTAATAAATGAAGAATAACTGTGCAAAAAACCCACAAGGATAGCACTAATAATTATAGATGCTTTTGTGCCATCCCAAAACATCTGGTGTACCACTTGGACATTTTTGGCATTGACGAAAATCACCATTGGTTAAAGGGTGGGTTCCGAATGGCTTTACTGCCGGTTCACTTGTGCACATGATTTGCATGTGTGCGCACCAGATGCATGTTGTGCATGCATGCACAGTTCAATTAATTTTTTTTCTGAGCATGCACAGAACTTAAAAACAAGATGGCGTCACCAACAGCGCCGACCGCAGAACCAGTTCAGGGGTGTGGCAGGCCTGGGTCACTGCCAGTTCCAGCGACCTACACTTCCCTATCACTACCGGTTTGGTAGATTACAAAAGGCAGCTTAATCCTGTGACAATATCTTTAACACCATCAAACAGCAGCAACCACCTATTCCAGATCATTGGGAAATAATCAATAGGTAGATAAAAATGTCAAATGTAGTCTAAAATGTCAAATTTAATTTAAACATCTGGGTGGCTATACAGTAAACCATAATAATAATTAAATTACACTGTCACTACACTGTCTCATAAAAAATTGATATACTTTCACACTGTAGATTGAACAAGATCCCTCCCTCTCCCCCCCCTCTCTCACATGTTTTTTTTTAATCAGTTGTGGATCGGTGGTGAGTTGCAACTAATTTTACTACCAGTTTGGGTGCGCTTGCGCTCATACGCAATGCTTCTGTGCATGCGCAGATGCATCCACATGGATGGGCGGGGCCTCCCACCGCCACTACTACCAGTTCAGTCGAACCAGGAGCAACCCACCACTGTTGTGGATGATGTCAACATCGTCCCTTCCTAGGAAAAAGAAAAATCTTAAAAGCTTTCCTGGAATCAATTCCCCCAGCCACTTTCGTGTCTTGTCCATTCAGATGGATTTCTTAATAATAATAAAAAAAAACTCAGGATAAACAAAATTTAAGAATGGGAATAAAGAACAAAGGAAAAGCAAATCTTTACTTGGACCAAAATTGTGATTCAACAATAGGTGACATCTTTTTATCAGAAGGTTAGATGCTTTCAGTATCTACGATGAGTATGAGAGTAGAACAAACATGTATAAAACTGCAATTGAATAACCACCAGTGGATATAGTACAGGGGTGTCAAATTCACATTGCCATCATGTGATGTTCCATGGTGTTTTTCCCATTCCCAGAGCTGGGGTGGGCATGGTCCGTGAATGATGTATCAGGCCCGTGGGCTACCAGTTTGACACCCCTGAAGCAGAACATTGAATATAGATAATTCAAGCCGGTGGTGTCTTAGACTGTTGTGGCAGTGTCCTAAAAGTAAATAATGTCCATGACCATAGCAAGAAGTACATATTTTAGATAACACTTTCTTAAGTGTTTTTTTTTTTTTTTTTTGGTGGGAGAGTTGTTTAAACTTAAGAAAACAAAATAGGAAGCATAACTGAGAAGGTAAAAGTGTGCTGAAGGGAAAGGAAAAAAGAGTTAGATCATTAATACACCACTTAATTGGGCAAACTGATCCTTTTATTGCTCGGTTTTTCTAAAGAGTGAGAAGAATAAATCCAGGTGCAGAAAAAAACATTGCAATTAATATTAACCTGCATGTGATTATTTGGCTCTTCAGAGTTTCATTGAATTATGTTGACTTCATAATTTGATTGCTGTGCAGATGTGAACTCTTCTGATTGCATTAAAATGTGCAATAGGAAGTTGAGAGAGGGAGGGGGGAGGAAGGGAAAATTCAGCCGATACGTGGAGCGACACTCTCTTTCCTAGTCATTTATTTCCTTTAGGAGAAAGGAAAGCAGAAGGTCAGAGTTATCACACTGTAACTCTAATCATTTAACAGTTGGATTTTTATTAGATGGCAATAGCAACATTTTGCATTGCATTCCGTTTTGCATAAATTGTGGCTACGGCAAGCTAAATAGTTTTCGTGGTTTTCCAGAAACACAGCCTCTATCTGTCTCAGTAGATATGTTAGGTTTGGCATGCTCCAAGACCCTTTTGTGAATCAGTGTTGTCTAGGGCAGTGTTTTTCAACCTTCTTTGTGCAAAGGCACACTTTTTTCATGAAAAAAATCACGAGGCACACCACCATTAGAAAATGTTAAACAAAATTAACTCTGTGCCTATATTGATTATATATAAAGGTGTTTTCCCACGGCACACCTTACACTATGTCACGGCACACTAGTGTGCCGCGGCACAGTGGTTGAAAAACACTGGTCTAGGGAGACCTAGGAATCTCTGTTACCTGTCACAATGTCTGGCCTAAGGGATCCATAGGGAATGGTATCCAAAGTTGATTCAGCCTTCCATCCTTCCGAAGTGGGTAGAGCCGAGGTGGCGCAGTGGTTAGAGTGCAGTACTGCAGCCACTTCAGCTGACTGTTAGCTGCAGTTCTGCAGTTCGGATCTCACCAAGCTCAAGGTTGATTCAGCCTTCCATCCTTCCAAAGTGGGTAAAATGAGGACCCAGATTGTTGGGGGCAATATGCTGAGACTCTGTAAACCGCTTAGAGAGGGCTGAAAGCCCTATGAAGTGGTATATAAGTCTAACTGCTATTGCTATTGCTATGTAAAAACACTGTGAAGTGGTATATAAGTCTAGTGCTTTTGCTATTACTTTCTTGTTGCAGT